TTTCTACATCGAGGGCACTTCGAGCACTCACAGCAGAGCAGATTTTCGCCCGAGAAGATAAGTATGGATGCCACAATTATCATCCACTTCCAGTTGCTTTATCCAGAGGAGAAGGTAAAAGTCAAGTTTTCTAAAAGCCCAAGTCAGGGAATTAGGAAAAGAGTAGTGAAAACGAAAAATGCACAACATATTCTTCTCTCTTAGGTGTATTCGTATGGGATGTTGCTGGCAAGAGATATTATGATTTCCTTGCTTCTTATTCTGCTGTTAATCAAGGCCACTGTCATCCACGGATCCTTGAGGTGATTACAATGTTAAAATTCTATGATGTAGACAATAGCACCTAACAATGTTTACTTCTAAATAGAATCAAATTTGGATGTTTTAAGCGTATTGTTTAGGCCGCTATAAAGCAAATGAAACAACTCAGTCTTACATCACGAGCGTTCTTCAATGATGTTCTTGGAGAGTACGAAGAATTCCTAACGAAGAAGTTTAAGTACGACAAAGTTTTGCCGATGAACACAGGTTAGCGCAAGATAAAGAGTCTCAAATGTTTGTTTAAAGAGCAAGGATCACTCGCTAAATTCAATTTTTATCCCATTGGGAAATAAAACATGTCCGCTTAGGTGTGGAAGCATGCGAATCAGCAGTAAAACTCGCTCGTCGCTGGGCTTACGACAAAAAGGGTGTTCCCGCCAATAAGGCTAAGGTATGCAATATATGTCTTTTACTGCTCAACCATATAACCAACATTTTCACGCTGCAGGTGGTTTTTGCTGAAAACAATTTTTGGGGACGATCAATAGCTGCTGTATCTGCATCAACAGATCCAGAATCCTACGGTGGCTTTGGGCCATTTGTACCGCTTTTCGAAAAAGTTCCTTACAACGACCTAAAATCCCTTGAGGTTTACTTCATCTATTGCCATGAAGCAATGCGATAATATCATTTTGAGACTTAAGAAAGCGATTTCCGATCCTAACACAGCAGCATTTATGGTGGAACCAATCCAAGGTGAAGCCGGTGTCGTACTGCCAGACGACGGGTATTTGAAGGTTGTTGTCGTATTTGACATATAGACTTTTGTACTC